GTTTGACTTGAAAATCATGTAAAAAACATAGTTTTTAAATTCAAATTAATGAGCTAACTCAATAAATTTATAATTTAAAATCTAATTCAAGTCAAGTTTTAATTTTAATTAGGAAAGATATTAGCTCAATGAACCCAATTAACTTACTATAGTCTTGCCAAACCTTTTATAAACTCATTTGAATCAACTCCATGAATTTTCTTTTTATTTTTTTAAAAAGAATAAACATCTTTATTTTATATAAAAATAATTAACTTGAGTAACTCGATAATTGAGTAATTCATTTCTTTTACTAGACTAAAAACTAGACCAAAACTAATGGCTATGGTCAACAAGATAGATTAAAAACTTAAAATTGACTCAATTAAAGATATAATTATACATTAAAAAGTTATATTATTATATAAGAACCCTATTTTTTCCCCTTTAATTTTGAGTTTAAATGAGATTCAATTTTTCCAAACACTTTAATCAATTTTTTTTAAAAAAAAAACAATAAGTCTGGTAAAATCTTTAATTTCTGGATTTACTCTTGGATATTTAACAGATTTTATTAATGGGTGTAAAGTGGCTGAAAGGGCAGAGTTAAAAAATTTCTCAATTAATTTATTTGAGAGTTGGTTTATATATTCACTTGAAAATCTAGATCTCGATTTGATAAAAACTAGAGCTATTTTTTTAAATAACATTATTTATTAAAATAAAATAATATTATTTTAATAAATCTAAATTAACTCAAGTTAATTAAATTAACTCATAATTCAAACAATACATAAACTATATTGAGAATATATATAAGCTATATTAGAAAAATTGAAAGGATATAAATATAAATAAGGAGATGATTGAGATGTTTTTCAAATTGTTTTATAATTAAAAATTATTAAAAATATATATATTTTTAAAAAGTTATTTTTAATATTATGATATTAAAATAATTATAAAATATTAAAAAAAATTAAGTTAATTTTTTTTATTTAATTTCAACCAAAAAAAATCAGATTAAAACTCCATATAACACCATCTTTTAAGTCATTAATCCTTTAAATTTCTCTTCTAACAAAATACAAACCCTTCAGCTGGCATTTCAATAAATTTCATGAAAGAAAGACTAAGAGATTCTGTAGAGTGAAGAAAGATGACGGCTATGTCTCGAGCAACTGGTTTGCTTACTAAAAACCCAATACTTCGTCTTCAACAGCAAATGGGTATGCCCTTCTTTTCCTCATTTCCCTTCTCTACTACTTGCAGTAGCAGCAGCACTGATAAGGTATCCTTTAGTAACATTGATGACGCCTTAGCTTTTTTCAATGACATGCTTAGCAAGAACCCTCGGCCTAGTACTTATGATTTTAATCAGTTACTGTCTGCAGCTATGAGGATGAAAAAACATGAGACAGCAGTTTCTTTGTCCCAAGAAATGGAACTTAGAGGAGTTAAACATAATGTCTTCACGCTCACCATATTGATTAACTGTTTCTGTCACTTAAACCGTGTTGATTTTGGATTCTCTGTGTGGGGAAAAATTCTTAAACGTGGTTTTGAGCCGGATGTTGTAACGTCTACTACCTTAGTAAATGGGCTCTGTAAAGAAGGTAAAATGGGTGAAGCTGTGAAATTGGTTGATGATATGGTGGAAAGAGGGTATAGACCTGGTGCATATACTTATAGTGTGGTAATAAATGGTCTTTGTAAAGTTGGGAAAGCTGATGTGGCTGTTGGATATCTTGAGGAAATGGAAAAGCTAGGTTGTGTGCTGGATACTGTTGCTTACAATTCGGTAATTGGGGGGTATTGTTTGCAAGGAAAAGTAGATGAAGCTAGAGAGGTATTTGATGTGATGGTGAGTAAGGGCACTACGCATGATGTTTGTAATTATAACACCTTGCTTAATGGATATTGTAAGATGGAAAGGGTAGACGAGGCAATGCAAGTTTTTGATGAAATGTTGAGAGAAGGTTTGGTTCCTACTGTAGTTACTTACAATACTCTGATAAAAGGTTTGTGTCGAGTGGGGAGACCTTGGGCTGCACATCAGCTTTTCAGGAACATCTCTGCTTGTGGCCTCACTCCAACCATAATAACTTACTCGACTTTGATTGATGGTTTCTGTGAACAAGGGAATCTTGATGAGGGGTGGGCAATATTTCAAGAGATGCAAAAGAGTGCTTTGAAGCCTAACTTGGTAGTCTACACCATCCTTATTGATGGTATGTGCAAGTGTGGGAAGCTTAAGTATGCTAAGGTATTGTTTTCTAGACTCATCGTGGAAGGATTTCAGCCTGATGTTCATACCTACACTGTGTTAATTGGTGGAATTTGTATAGAAGGATCCCTAATTGAAGCACTCATGCTTGTAACAAACAATATATTTTAACTGAATTTATGCAAACCAAGGAGGTTGGAAGACTGTGCGCACTTGTGCACTCGCCCATGGAAACTGCCGTGCCTTTAGCTGCCCTGTCTCTACCTTCATAAATGAAACTAGCTGGAAAACGTCTATTCACTAGTGAAATTCTTGGCACTGTCATTTCTGAATAAACATGATATATTTCTGACTAAACATGATTTATTGAGATTTACATGCAGTGTAATTTGTGTTGTTGTTGCTCTTATGAACATTCTGGTCCTTACGGTCCTTACTTTATTTGACTGGTTTTGATGATATAGGTGATTTCATTTTTTTAATTTCAGAATTATAAGTTGCTTGTTTTGTTCTCAACTGGTTGTGATTTTCATGAGTACTTCATTAAGACAGTTCTATCAATAGGAGGGGAGGAATTTTACTGGAATCTGCCAGTATAATTTAGTATTTTATTTTCTGATTATGGGGCCATAGTTGAAGCAGAAAAGAAGTCGCATTCAAATTCCTATTTGAGGTAGTCTTAGTGTCTAGCAGTACTTGCCATCAAAATATAAAGGTGCTTCACTCTTCATACTTGTGTTTTCTGTATGCAAAGAGGTGAATGTTGCAGTTCATATGCATTCCCTGCATAGGAAAGTAATGAATATATGATATCAGATTCATGGAATTCAAACTTAACTCTGATTTTCCTCTAGGAGTATAAAATATAAGAGCTCCCTTGGATTTCTGGGCTACAACTTAGGTCCCATTTTTCTGTTTCCTATCAGAACTCATGTGATCTATTACAATGAGTGCATGACCCACAGTGCTCTTAGATATAAAAAGGCATGGAAGATATTTCGGTCTATCTCTATCATTTTCTGTTACGATTGTAATTTGCTAAAAATTTACAAAACCACCGTATTAGTTTAGTGCAGCTTCTGCCTTGGCCTTTCTGGAGTGATCAATCAAGAAGTTCTTCCATCATAAAAGGGTAAGCTTGTTACTCAAAATACCATTACTCATTGCCAAAAACTTATTTTTTTTGGTTTCCAACACCTCGGGTGATGAAAAATTTCTAAAACAATTGACCTTTTTGGTGTATAAAATTGCATGAAATAAGCCTTGTCCTTGTAAAATGGGAGCTGTTTAAGGACAGCTTCCTAGAACCCAATTACCCTGTTTGTGTCTGCATTCCTTCCATTGTGCTCAAAGTCTACCTTCCAAGCTATTTCTGACCCCTGCTTGGATGCTGGAATGCAAAACCCTTTCTTCCACCAGCTACTCCTTTCCACAAACAGGCAAATGCTTTTTTCCCGACCTTATCTCTCAATTGCAAATTTCTAGAAGTGTCTTCCAAATATCACTACATACCTGAGCCCATCCCTTCCATAATCAAATTCATGATATCGGAAATAGGATCTTTTCAGGTGCTCTCGGCATGCCACTACTCCCACATGAAAGTAGAGATGGGTTTTCTTTGTATTTACACTTTGAGGGTTTTGTCAAGTGAATTTGTGGGTTCTGCATATATTTTATGTTGTTATTTAATTATTGGTCTCTTTTTGTGGAAGTTTTCATCAATAGGCTTTGACTTCTTTTGGTATTTTGTGTTTGATCATGATACAGTCTTCCTGGATGGGGATGTTGGTTTCTTATTTGTTGATTTTGGTTCTTACCAGATCAGGATTTTAGATTTTGGTTCTTGTTTATTTCATTTACATGCATGGTGTGCCTGCTCAGTGTAAGATTTTGGATTGGTGTTGGGTTTTGAGGTAGGTATTTATATGTCTTTGTACTTTGCTGTCAGTTCCTAACAATTTGGGTCTGTTTGCTCATAAATTGCTTGTTTTATGATTTCTATCTTCTTGTTCTTGTGCATACTGGTTTCAATAATTGCTTGACATGGTTTTTTCTTTTGTTTGGTCCTGTAAATTTTTTGTTGATAGACTTTTCATTTTGGTAATGTTTAAGAATGTGGTAATGGTTCTAAATTTCCAAGTATATGTATGCTTGTTGAGCAATCTTTGCTAAGGTACTCGTTAATATTAATTTCCTAAAAGCAGGCTAATCACAAATTTGACCGTGATGCTTTGTTCTATAATAAACATCCTAAATTCTTGACATTGTTTTATCTGGTATTGATTCATGACAATGTTTTTGATATTAGTACTGATTTACTGATTTGATTGGCTCACTGGAAGCAGGGTTTTGATGCTTCAGTCTTCATGAATGATGATGATGCTCTTGCACTTGCCACCAAATAAAAACCATTCCATTGAGAGGCATGCTGTTCGCAACAAGACCTTGAGAGGTTTTTCTGTGAAAGTGACATGATCACAGTGGAGCTTGACGATTCATGCCCAGGGTTGGTTATATGTGTTGCTACGCTTGCACTTGCCACCAGATATGGTGTGTTCTGGTATGTTCTGCTTTTGTTTCTTTGCATGGTAAAGCACTCGACAGTTGATCTTTTAGTCATTTAGTGCTGAACTGATCAAAGTTGGTTCCTCAGGTTTTAGGGTTTTTTTTTTCTTTTACTTTCTCTAGAAAAAACAAGAGCTTTTATTAATGACACAATTATGTGCACCAGACCCATTCATGTGAAGTCTTGGCTAATTAGTTTTACAAGATTTGTAGTCTGTGTGATGTTAAATGTTTGATAGCAATGCAAAGATATTAGGACCTTATCATTTCGATTCAAATTTCATCAATTTTCTTCCTGTTTAGTCACTGAACTTTCTGAAATAAGAAATGAATCATTCCTAGTCTCATCCGTGTGATTCTTCGCTATCCAAGAACATTCATAAATCATTATCATTGAGCATGCTTATGGTGTTTGTTCTTGCTTGATCTTGCAGGCCGGTGGTCCATTTCTCGATTTTACTGGCAGGAGAGACGGTGCTCAATCATAATATGATGAATCCATGGACGAGATTCCAAAGAACAATGATAACATGACCCAAAAAGCATTCCTCTTTTCCGCAGGGGTTTTGTTGAAAGAGAAACAATAGTCTTTAGGTGGTGTTCTTCCACTATCTTGAACAGAAAAGATAGTAACAGTGGAGATAGAGAAAAGACAATACAAAAAGAAAATGGAGACATAATTGTGTTAGTGTTAGTGATGTATAGGATAGAATGATTGTTTTGTATCCTGTTAAAGATAAAATATATATAAAAAAAATCTATTTTACTATTAAATTTTTGTATATTAAAAGTTAATTAGATTTTTTTATGTAAGTTCATGGAGCATGGACTGGATGCTGGACTGCCCAGGCCAGGTAAGAAAATTCGTTAAGGAAACATGTAGACGAAACAGTGCTGGTTTAGACACAATGAACGTAATGTTGGAATGACAGCGCCGACGACCGTGATATTCTCTTTGATCCCCCTCCTCTTTTGTCCCACAGTCTCGGCTTTCCACGGGAAAACCATGTTTTTCCTCACCCCAGGAAATTAATACTTAGCAGAGGATTTGCAAAGAGTAGGGTTTTCAAATGTGGAGAATACGACGAATAATGATAATGACAATCAGAAAGCTGGAGCCCCATTCTTTATTTATTGTGGAATGGTTGGGGTGGAGTCTGGTTATGAAGGTAGAAGGTGGTGGCTGAGTGTGCTATCATAAGAAATAACAATTGTTGTTATGGGCAGTGGGTTTGGAGAAGACGATGTTTGATTGGCTGAAGATACACGGGAGCTTTATTGTTTATTTATTGATTTTCAAAATCTATTTTAACTCATGTTTTAAAGTTTAATATTTGAAAACTTTGGTTATGAAGTAAAAAAAATCAAATTATAGGTTGCTTGGAGTAATTTATCCTAATTAATTTTATTTATATATTTATTAGGATTGATACAAGTAAATGATTAACTTAACTTGTGATTTGATTCTTGTCAAATTAATTTTTAAAATTATAATAATAATAATTTTTTTTATATGTATAATTTCAGAATTAAAAGTTTTTTACAAATATATTTTTGAAATAAAAAAAAATATTGTTTATTGAGACATCTTTTCTTTATATTTTCTGTTTTGAAATTATATAAATTCATTCTAAAATTATATTAGAAACACATTTATTTTTATATCTTTATCTTTATTTCTTTAATTAAATATATATTTATTTTTATTATCTTCATCTTTTCTATCATGAGATAGTAACTGAATGCTATTTTAGATTGTATTTAGTTAATACAAAAGTACATAAAAAATGTATAAAAAAAGACATAGACATATTGGTTAAAGAAATAAAAATAAAAATAGCAAATAAATTTATTTATAGAATATTTTTACATAGCCAACCACCTGTTTGTCGAAATTCCCCACAGAAAAAACCCAGCAATGGTAGTTCCTCTAGGCCCTGGAAAATTCTATGGCAGCACCCTCCCTCGCCCCAGAATCTACACCGATGTAAGGCACAGTGCTGAACGAGTAGACCCGCCAGTTCCTGTTATGGATCCGTTTCTTTCATGGGCTCATGAAGCTCACTGGTCCATGGGAGGGCTCAGTTTCACCCGCCTTCGATATCAGGGTCGAATCGAAGGAAATACTGAGAAACTACGAAAACTCCGCGAAAAAAAAGTCAAGTTATTAGCCAAAACTAGCCCGAAGAAGAATGATTTGGCCCCGGATGCGCAGAAAGAGCGCAATAAGAAAAGGGGTGGGTCTGTCTCGCCTCCTCCAGCTCCTAAAGTGACAAAGAAGAGGAGGTTCTTGCAGTTGATTGACGAGGAGGAGAGTGAAGAGGAGGATCAAGAATTGGAGGAAACTGTGAAGATTAAAAGGGGTCTAGCAAGGAAGTTAGTGGGTGATTTTGAAAGGGTAGCTAAGGATAATCACAATGTGAAGGTTGCTGATTTGGCAAAGACGGTCACTGAGGAGGTTAGCAGAGAGGAAAAGAAATCAAGGGGTGGAAAGAAAGGTAAGAAAAGTGGTGGAGAGAGTGGATCCGAGGCTGTTATTGGCGGGATTAGGAGTTCACCAAGATTGGCTAAGCAAAGATATGTGAAAGAGGCTTAATTTATCAGATTGTGAGCTCTGTTAAATGTAATGAAATAGTAGGCAAACAGTCGTAGTTGAGGTTTTTTTGTTCTGTTTTTCTTTTTTCTTTTTTAAGTCTTATTAGATATGAGATTGAAATGAAATTAGTGTTGAGTTTTTTAAGTCTTATTTGATATGAGATTGAAATGAAATTAGTGTTGATAAGAATACAAGGGTTTCAATTTCATTGAATATATCTTTACCAAGAATTCCTGACTGAATCTTGTTTCATTTGATTTAATTGGTGTTCATGTTGATTTGATTGAAGATGCTTCATGGCCTGTGTAATTTGTTCAGTGTATCCAAGTTTCAGTTATCATTACTGTTCCCTGGGGCTGTTTTGCTGCTACTCATTGCTTATATGCTAAAACTTTCGGATTATAGTTTGCCCAGTCCTTAATTTCTCAGCTTGATACCCTTTGGGAATTCAGTCCTCGTTTTGGTACATGATATTGACTGTTCGACACCAGCTTATTTTCAGATCCAAAAACAAGCAGCTGCTCTCCTCTCGTCTCCTGGCCATATACAGGAAAAACCTGAAGGATTGTTCACTAGTTTTAGGCAATCAAAAAATCTATTGCCTGTGCCAAAACTTGGCAGATTTGCCATTTCCATATCTTCAAACCAGTACCATGGAGCTTGTCAAGGTAGGTTCTTGCAAAGGATTGCTTTGCCCTGTGAACATTCCAAATTCTGCAACAATGGATCAAAACTTCCACCTGGAAATCGGTCTATGGAATCCTACCGTATCTATGTACTTGGTTCTCCCATTTCTGACTATGGTAACTCCGAAACACGGTTTATATGGTAATGCTGTTGGTTTCATGATTACAAAGCTGTACGCCCCAGGGAAGACATTTGCTCTGTAAAGACGGGTTTGTGGAGAAGACTTGAGAATCCTGCTGCATATGGATGATGAAAGAACAGGTGACACTCTTGGGATGGCAGTTCAAGTTTACTTTAGCTGCATCATCGGGACGAAAACTGCAATAATTTACAAGGGTGGATTGCTATTTGTGGACGAGTGGCTCCATATAATGATGAAGACAGCAACAAATGGATGATTTTGTATCTGGTGTTCATGGAATATCTCATGGAAATTTGATAATTTTGAGGAAAGCCTCGCTCTACTTTACTCGATGAAGAAAAAGCTCCATCTTACTCTAACAATAGCTGCTACAAGAGAGAAAGAATGGGCAGAAACAGGTGAAACAATCATCTTTAACAGTTCACTTTTTTGTACTGTCTTCATTTGTCCCTGTAACAAGCCAACGATGGCAGAACTACTTACTCATGATAACCTCATTATTATTTTTAATGCAGGTTAGTTGAATACAAGGATTGAAGTGAATTTATTATAAATCATGTCTTGTAATCTTGTATAACAATTTAAAACTTCAAACTCTTGATTGAGATGTTTTTTTTGATAGGATGGTGAAATCTAGACAATCAGTTTGAATTTTATTACCCAATCATTTTTTCTAACCACTTGTTGGATTAAGATAATTTTTTAAAAAATTAAAAAATTCAGACTGCATAAATAAAATTTAAAGTAAATAAAAAATATTTTTTTAAAATTTAAAGTAAATAAAAAATAAAATTTTTTAATTTTTTTTTAAATGCAGAAACAAATATGTGGCTGTTAAAATAGATGAGATATAATTTTTCTTAACCACGGAGATAATACAGTTATACAAACCAAATAATTAATGTAAATTTTGTCCATAAAAAAAAAATTAGTCTTTTAGTGGTTTCCCAATTATGCTTCTAAATCACTTGAAATATCACTTTCTCAATAGGTAACAAACATTGCCTTTTCAAATATCAAAACCAAATAATTAATATAATTTTTTTCATGAGTAAGAATTATTGCTAAATCGAATGAAAATATAAAAGAATTAGAGTAACATAAATATTTTCTTATTAGTGAAATAAAGATTGAAATATATATAGCCATAAATGGTTGTAAAAAAAGGCCATGTATATGATATTTTACTAAATGACATAATTCATTTCATTTTAGCTGTTTGACTTGAAAATCATGTAAAAAACATAGTTTTTAAATTCAAATTAATGAGCTAACTCAATAAATTTATAATTTAAAATCTAATTCAAGTCAAGTTTTAATTTTAATTAGGAAAGATATTAGCTCAATGAACCCAATTAACTTACTATAGTCTTGCCAAACCTTTTATAAACTCATTTGAATCAACTCCATGAATTTTCTTTTTATTTTTTTAAAAAGAATAAACATCTTTATTTTATATAAAAATAATTAACTTGAGTAACTCGATAATTGAGTAATTCATTTCTTTTACTAGACTAAAAACTAGACCAAAACTAATGGCTATGGTCAACAAGATAGATTAAAAACTTAAAATTGACTCAATTAAAGATATAATTATACATTAAAAAGTTATATTATTATATAAGAACCCTATTTTTTCCCCTTTAATTTTGAGTTTAAATGAGATTCAATTTTTCCAAACACTTTAATCAATTTTTTTTAAAAAAAAAACAATAAGTCTGGTAAAATCTTTAATTTCTGGATTTACTCTTGAATATTTAACAGATTTTATTAATGGGTGTAAAGTGGATCAAAGGGCAGAGTTGAAAAATTTCTCAATTAATTTATTTGAGAGTTGGATCATATGATTCAGTTCAAAATCTAGATGGATTTACCATCTAGTTGATTTGATAAAAATTTGAGCTATTTTTTTTAAATAATATTATTTTTTAAAATAAAAAAATATTATTTTAAAAATTTAAATCAACTCTAATTAACTAGAATAACTCATAATTTAAGCCTACAAGAACTATATTGAAAATATATATAAGCTATATTAGGAAAATTGAAAGAATACAAATATAAATAAGAAAGCGATTGAGTTGTTTTTAAAGTGTTTTATAATTAAAAATTATTAAAAATATGTATTTTTAAAAATTTATTTTTAATATTAGGATATTAAAATAATTTTAAAATATTAAAAAAAATTAAGTTTTTTTTTTTTTTTAAAAAAATCAGATTAAAACTCCATATAAAACCACCTTTTAAGTCATTAATCCTTTAAGTTTCTCTTCTAACAAAATACAAACCCTTCAGCTGGCATTTCAAGAAATTTCATGAAAGAAAGACTAAGAGATTCTGTAGAGTGAAGAAAGATGACGGCTATGTCTCGAGCAACTGGTTTGCTTACTAAAAATCCCATATTTCGTCTTCAACAGCAAATGGGTATGCCCTTCTTTTCCTCATTTCCCTTCTCTACTACTTGCAGCAGCAGCAGCACTGATAAGTTATCCTTTAGTAACATTGATGATGCCTTAGCTTTTTTCAATGACATGTTTAGCAAGAACCCTCGGCCTAGTACTTATGATTTTAATCAGTTACTGTCTGCAGCTATGAGGATGAAAAAACATGAGACAGTAGTTTCTTTGTCCAAAGAAATGGAACTTAGAGGACTTAAACATAATGTCTTCACGCTCACCATATTGATTAACTGTTTCTGTCACTTGAACCGTGTTGATTTTGGATTCTCTGTGTGGGGAAAAATTCTTAAACGTGGTTTTGAGCCGGATGTTGTAACGTCTACTACCTTAGTAAATGGGCTCTGTAAAGAAGGTAAAATGGGTGAAGCTGTGAAATTGGTTGATGATATGGTGGAAAGAGGGTATAGACCCGGTGCATATACTTATAGTGTGGTAATAAATGGTCTTTGTAAAGTTGGGAAAGCTGATGTGGCTGTTGGATTTCTTGAGGAAATGGAAAAGCTAGGTTGTGTGCTGGATACTGTTGCTTACAATTCGGTAATTGAGGGATATTGTTTGCAAGGAAAAGTAGATGAAGCTAGAGAGGTATTTGATGTGATGGTGAGTAAGGGCACTACGCATGATGTTTGTAATTATAACACCTTGCTTAATGGATATTGTAAGATGGAAAGGGTAGACGAGGCAATGCAAGTTTTTGATGAAATGTTGAGAGAAGGTTTAGTTCCTACTGTAGTTACTTACAATACTCTGATAAAAGGTTTGTGTCGAGTGGGGAGACCTTGGGCTGCACATCAGCTTTTCAGGAACATCTCTGCTTGTGGCCTCACTCCAACCATAATAACTTACTCGACTTTGATTGATGGTTTCTGTGAACAAGGGAATCTTGATGAGGGGTGGGCAATATTTCAAGAGATGCAAAAGAGTGCTTTGAAGCCTAACTTGGTAGTCTACACCATCCTTATTGATGGTATGTGCAAGTGTGGGAAGCTTAAGTATGCTAAGGTATTGTTTTCTAGACTCATCGTGGAAGGATTTCAGCCTGATGTTCATACCTACACTGTGTTAATTGGTGGAATTTGTATAGAAGGATCCCTAATTGAAGCACTCAAACTTTTTAGAAAAATGGAAGAGGACGGCTGCACACCAAATGCTTGCTCCTATAATGTGATTATCCAAGGATTTCTCCAACACAAGGATACCTCAACAGCAATGCAGCTTGTCTGTGAAATGGTCAATCGGGGATTCTCTACAGATGCTGCCACCAGAACCTTACTGCTAGATCTACCCACCAATGATGGGAGTACTGCTCTTAAAAACTTGCCAGGGCTCTGTGATGGTCATCAAGATGTAAAGGTGAAGTAACCTTTGAATACTCAATGTTGCTTTGATTAATGCAGCAAATTAAAAGTTGTTTCTATTACCCTTGCAGCTTTTGTTGCATTTGGTTTCATGATTGGGAGTTTTCTCCACTAGCATTTAGGTCATATTTGCTCTGTAGAGTTGCGCCAGTGTCATCTTGCTGACCTTGTTGACATTTATGCTTGTAACAAACAATATATTTTAACTGTATTGTTGTTGGAAGACTGTGCGCACTTGTGTACTCGCCCATGGAAACTGCTGTGCCTTTAGCTGCCCTGTCTCTACCTTCATAAATGAAACTAGCTGGAAAACGTCTATTCACTAGTGAAATTCCTGGCACTGTCATTTCTGAATAAACATGATTTATTGGGGTTTACATGCAGTGTAATCTGTATTGTTGTTGCTTTTATGAACATTCTGGTCCTTGCGGTCCTTACTTTATTTGACTGATTTTGATGATATAGGTGATTTCATTTTTTTAATTTCAGAATTATAAGTTGCTTGTTTTGTTCTCAACTGGTTGTGATTTTCATGAGTACTTCATTAAGACAGTTCTATCAATAGGAGGGGAGGAATTTTATTGGAATCTGCTAGTATAATTTAGTATTTTATTTTCTGATTCTGGGGCCATAGTTGAAGCAGAAAAGAAGTCGCATTCAAATTCCTATTTGAGGTAGTCTTAGTGTCTAGCAGTACTTGCCATCAAAATATAAAGTTGCTTCACTCTTCATGCTTGTGTTTTCTGTATGCAAAGAGGTGAATGTTGCAGTTCATATGCATTCCCTGCATAGAAAAGTAATGAATATATGATATCAGATCCATGGAATTCAAACTTAACTCTCATTTTCCTCTACGAGTATAAAATATAAGAGCTCCCATGGATTTCTGGGCTACAACTTAGGTCCCATTTGTCTGTTTCCTATCAGAACTCATGTGATCTATTACAACGAGTGCATGACCCACAGTGCTCTTAGATATAAAAATTTACAAAACCACCGTATTAGTTTAGTGCAGCTTCTGCCTTGGCCTTTCTGGAGTGATCAATCAAGAAGCTCTTCCATCAAAAAAGGGTAAGCTTGTTACTCAAAATACCATTACTCATTGCCAAAAGCTTATTTTTCTGGTTTCCAACACCTTGGGTGATGAAAAATTTCTAAAACAATTGACCTTTTTGGTGTATAAAATTGCATGAAACAAGCGTTGTCCTTGCAAAATGGTAGCTGTTTATGGACAGCCTCCTAGAACCCAATTACCTTGTTTGTGTCTGCATTCCTTCCATTGTGCTCAAAGTCTACCTTCCAAGCTATTTCTGACCCCTGCTTGGATGCTGGAATGCAAAACCCTTTCTTCCACCAGCTCCTCCTCTCCACAAACAGGCAAATGCTTTTTTCCCGACCTTATCTCTCAATTGCAAATTTCTAAAAGTGTCTTCCAAATATCACTACATACCTGAGCCCTTCCCTTCCATAATCAAATTCATGATATTGGAAATAGGATCTTTTCAGGTGCTCTCGGCATGCCACTACTCTCACATGAAAGTAGAGATGGGTTTTCTTTGTATTTACACTTTGAGGGTTTTGTCAAGTGAATTTGTGGGTTCTGTATATATTTTACATTGTTATTTAATTATTGGTCTCTTTTTGTGGGAGTTTTCATCAATAGGCTTTGACTTCTTTTTGGTATTTTGTGTTTGATCATGATACAGTCTTCCTGGATGGGGATTTTGGTTTCTTGTTTGTTGATTTTGGTTCTTACAGGATCAGGATTTTAGATTTTGGTTCTTGTTTATTTCATTTACATGCATGGTGTGCCTGCTCAGTGTAAGATTTTGGATTGGTGTTGGGTTTTGAGGTAGGTATTTATATGTCTTTGTACTTTGCTGTCAGTTCCTAACAATTTGGGTCTGTTTGCTTATAAATTGCTTGTTTTATGATTTCTATTTTCTTGTTCTTGTGCATACTGGTTTCGATAATTGCTTGACATGGTTTTTTCTTTTGTTTGGTCCTGTAAATTTTTTGTTGATAGACTTTTCATTTTGGTAATGTTTAAGAATGTGGTAATGGTTCTAAATTTCCAAGTATATGTATGCTTGTTGAGCAATCTTTGCTAAGGTACTCGTTAATATTAATTTCCTAAAAGCAGGCTAATCACAAATTTGACCGTGATGCTTTGTTCTATAATAAACATCCTAAATTCTTGACATTGTTTTATCTGGTATTGATTCATGATAATGTTTTTGATATTTGTACTGATTTACTGATTTGATTGGCTCACTGGAAGCAGGGTTTTGATGCTTCAGTCTTCATGAATGATGATGATGCTCTTGCACTTGCCACCAAATAAAAACCATTCCATTGAGAGGCATGCTGTTTGCAACAAGACCTTGAGAGGTTTTTCTGTGAAAGTGACATGATCACAGTGGAGCTTGACGATTCATGCCCAGGGTTGGTTATATGTGTTGCTACGCTTGCACTTGCCACCAGATATGGTGTGTTCTGGTATGTTCTGCTTTTGTTTCTTTGCATGGTAAAGCACTCCACAGTTGATCTTTTAGTCATTTAGTGCTGAACTGATCAAAGTTGGTTCCTCAGGTTTTAAGGTTTTTTTTTCCTTTTACTTTCTCTAGAAAAAACAAGAGCTTTTATTAATGACACAATTATGTGCACCAGACCCATTCAAGTGAAGTCTTGGCTAATTAGTTTTACAAGATTTGTAGTCTGTGTGATATTAGGACCTTATCATTTCGATTCAAATTTCATCAATTTTCTTCCTGTTTAGTCACTGAACTTTCTGAAATAAGAAATGAATCATTCCTAGTCTCATCCGTGTGATTCTTCGCTATCCAAGAACATTCATAAATCATTATCATTGAGCATGCTTATGGTGTTTGTTCTTGCTTGATCTTGCAGGCCGGTGGTCCATTTCTCGATTTTACTGGCAGGAGAGACGGTGCTCAATCGTAGTATGATGAAGCCATGGATGAGATTCCAAAGAACAATGATAACATGACCCAAAAAGCATTCCTCTTTTCCGCAGGGGTTTTGTTGATAGAGAAACAATAGTCTTTAGGTAGTGTTCTTCCACTATCTTGAACAGAAAAGATAGTAACAGTGGAGATAGAGAAAAGACAATACAAAAAGAAAATGGAGACATAATTGTGTTAGTGTTAGTGATGTATGAGATAGAATGATTGTTTTGTATCCTGTTATAGATAAAATATATATAAAAAATTCTTTTTTAGCATTAAATTTTCGTATTTTAAAAGTTAATTAGATTTTTTTATGTAAGTTTGTAGTCAGCCTCAGCTCTCGTGTGTTGCCACCCCACGACTGTGATATTCTCTTTGATTCCCCTCCTCTTTTGTCCCACAGTCTCGGCTTTCCACAGGAAAACCATGTTGTTCCTCACCCCCCTGGAAATTAATATTTAGCAGAGGATTTGCAAAGATTAGGGTTTTCAAATGTGGAGAATGCAGCGAATAATGATAATGACAATCAGAAAACTCGAGCCCCATTCTTTATTTATTGTGGAATGGTTGGGGTGGAGTCTGGTTGTGAAGGTAGAAGGTTTTGATTGGTGGTGGCTGAGCGTGCTATCATGAAAAAAGAACAATTGTTGTTATGGGAAGATACACGGGAGCTTTATTGTTTATTTATTTATTTTCAAAATCTATTTTTACTCATGTTTTAAAGTTTAATATTTGAAAACTTGATTATAAAATTAAAAAAAAAATCAAATTATACAATTACTTACAGTAATTTATCCTAATTAATTTTATCTATAAATTAACTGGAATTGATACAAGTTGATGATTAACTCAACTTGTGACTTGATTTTTATCTTGGGTCTACTCTAAAACCAATTTTTAAAATTAAAATAATAATAATTTTTATTTTTATATATTTTAATTGTATAATTTAAAATTAAGATTTTTTTATAAATATTTTTTTAAAATAAAAATAAAAAATATTGTTTATCAAGACATCTTCTTTACATTTTCTATTTTGAAATTATATAAAGTCACTCCAAAATTATATTAGAAATAATTTTATTTTTATATCTTTATCTTTGTTTCTTTAATTAAACATCTTTATTGTCTTTATCTTTTCTGTTATAAGATAATAATTGAATATTATTTTAAATTGTATTTAGTTAATATTTCAAAACAGAAACATGTATAAAAAAAGACATATTTGGTTAAAGAAATAAAAATAAAAATATTAAATAAATTTATTTATAGTATAATTTTAAAATAAATTTTTATTTTTCAAAGCATGAAGTACATGGCGAGTGGCGACATATCACTTCTATTTTCACGATCTCCTTCTCTTTTATCTCGGAATAGCAACTGAAAGCTATATTAGATCCTCGTTGGCCGACATAGCTCTATGCAGGCATACATGTTTATAAGGATATAACAAACACGGTTGATTAACGTTGTCAAGGAAACCTTGATAAATACGATAACCAAGCTTTGATATCTGGCATTGTTAGCAATCTGCAATACATGCAGTTAGCTAAACAAAGCGCAACCTGATCTAACATAAAGCAATGATTAGATGTTAACCAAGAGCCTTGAGATTAAATGCTTAAAATTTCTCATCAGCCTTGCAAGCATGATAAAGCTTTCTTCCTCAGCATCATCCTCAACCATATCGATCGAGTTTGTACTTGTTAGCATAGCTAGGTGCCAGCATTTCTATAAATCCAGTCTAACAAAATCCCAGCCACCGCCTAGAGAAAACTGCAAGATGAGGGCTGTGCTTGCGATGACGGAACAACCTTTAGAAGGGACTTTACTTGAGAACTTTCAGGTGTTAATTATCACTGTAGAATTCCTAGAGAGAAAGAGAATGAAATCAGTGTAGTCTTTTTTGTAGAAATTCTGCAGAATCCCTGTCCTCTCAATTTCTTCTATCTCTCCCTAAATCTTTCTTTCTATCAAGAATCACTTTGTTAAGCCTAGTAATTAACAGGCCCGCAATTCTTTCTTAACTTGTTTTGTCCCTCTTATGTGAATTTCTCAATCCTGAAAATTTCACGCTTTTGATTACTGGTGTGTGTATAAAATTCCTGAACCTAATCTGCTTTTTGAGGCATCAAATCATGAATCTCTCATTTGAAAAGCCTAAGATTTTACAGAAATCTCTGCAATGCTATATTATTCATCAACCTGCTTTCATAACTTGTATATAGTTGAGAAGAATACGGTACAAAGCCTGTGACCTGAACCCTATCCTGGCGCAATCCCACACCACAAATGAGAAAGCATAACCCCCACAAAAAAAGAAGAAGAAAAGAACTACTAAATCTCAATGCCTTAGCAAACACAATTATTTCAAATACTGATTTTGTCGAGTGATTCCCTGGATTCTGCTTAATCTGCATGATTTATCAGGTGTTCGTATGCTTCATCCTTTTGCCTGCGTAGATGTGCCAGTTGCCGCTCTAAGGAGATTAAACGTTTTTCTACTGCCGGCAACTTTTTCTCAACTTTCTTAATGCTAGCTTTCAAAAACAAATGTTGCTTCCTTAAATCCACCAGTTCCTTAGCATGAAACTAGAAGAAGAAAAATGTATCATTGGTAGGTGGTAAGTTGGATGAAGAAATATAAAGTTGATTTTTATCTTGTTATTTAAACTCACTTCGATTTCCTCTTGCAAGGCTTTTTTTGTACCTAGTGAATTCCATATCTTTCCCTTGACAGTAGCATTAGCAATAGCTTTCTCCTTAGTGATTTCTAGATGTTGAATCTCTTTCAGTATACTTTCATCTCCGACTGTGCTGGCATTGTAGCAACCGTATAGCAATCGGTAATTCAATGGATAAATCTAGCACAAACAGTGAGTAAATTTAGGTCTACGTAACAGTGAATATATTAAAAGAATAAGAACACAGATTCAGTATTTCAACTTACAGAACTATCAATCTCTTTCAGTGACGACCACAAACTGACAATCTTACCCTTCTCACTTGCCTTGATCTCTCTCAGAAGTTTTTTCTCTGCAGCCAGATTCTTGCTTCCATGTAGCAGTTTGAAATTCAAGTTCTGAACTCAGTTTCATATGTCAGTTAGAAAGAACATGGTAAGGGGAGAAGAACTATAGTCAAGATGTTACGGAGCCAAAATGGCTTTGACTAATTGAACACTAAAAATGTTATTCTTACACGAAAATTGATGTCATCAGCAACTAAGCATGAATTTATCTCTCGATCCTGGTACGCGCTGTTTGTGAAACTCAGCTTGTCTAGAGCTACCTGTAAATGTCCCTGCTGTTTTTTCCTCAAAACCACGCCGTCTTTCAATATCTTTTCTCTTTCGTGTAGGATTCTCAACCTTGAGATTATGTCTTCTCGATCCGACTGTTATTGTAAGAAAAATTAGTAACATCAGATCTTTCAACAGAAGTCTTGCTGTTTTATGACATCATACTGGCTATTGATATATATCATTAGCTACCACTCTTTAGGATAGTTTGCATTTTAGTTAGTAAATCTACTACGCTTTTCCTATCATTGTAATGATCCCAAATCGTAATGCCACATACCCTTCTTTCGGCTATTTTTTTGTCTACCTCAAGCCTTCTCTCATTTAGACTTCTTATCAGCATCTCAGCCTCTTCTTTTCTGAATATCGAATCTGGATCTTCACATGGCTTGACATTATAGGGTTGGTCATTTGCATTGCCATTTATGGAATCCGTGGCTAAACCTTCAGTCACTAGAGAAGTTGTCGTAAAATTCCCTCCCGAGACATCCATAGCTTCAACTTCTGCTGGCTATCACAAACAAAGAAATTCTTAGTCTTAACTTGAGACTTCAAATATTTGACAGCCAGATAGGATTCAAGATTCTTACCTCAAGCAACTGGATAGCCAAACAGTTCCGGTGAACTGAAAATATGACTGCAACCCTGATTTATAACCTTAACTATATAACATACAAAGAGTTGATCTAAACCAGCATCTCCGATAATTGCTTACTTGTCTGTCACCAGTTCAGTACTTGCTCCCCACGCCAAGAAAGTCTGACTTCGTGAAATAGAAAGGTTTTTTCTTCTTATTATTGTTCAGATGTCATTCTTAATGGCGGGATTAGCATGGTCAACAATGAGAAAAATATTAGCAAATGGCCCATTAGAGAATCATATGGAGGTTTCGAATGAATGTACCTGTATTCGTAGAGCAGGTCAACGGGGAAGGACATTTCTGCTTATAAAATCATGTAAGATTTTGAAAAAAACAGGGAAATCCCATTTGATATGGACATTTTGTTTGTCCCAAAACAAAAAATGAAACAAATCAGAGGAGAAAAGAGCAATGATTTAAAATTAAGCATGCCCATTTAAGGCAATACCGTCAAAGTGTAATTTAATAATTTAAACTTCTAGATTAATTTAATAATCAATGATAAAGACTTGAGCTAAAGCCCCTCTTAAACTGCCTCGTAATTTTCACAGTTGAGTGTGTGTGTGGTTCTTCAACAGCTTGAGGTGGCACCAAACGCTCTTGCTGTAGCCAGAAAACCATACACAGACCTTACGATAACAACCATAAAGGAAACAACATTGACATAAACGAAACAATTAAAATTCTCAACCATTATATTTTGCCTCGTAGAAGATTTTCCAACCAAAACAAGATTTGGAACATATATAAAGTTACTTCTTGTTTCTTGCAGACTTTCTTGTCTTCTACAGAAGTGACTGCATTAGTTTTTGCTGCTACTGTAAAACCTCATTTGAAACAGAATAATCAATATGTTTACATTTGCTTATTTTTTGCGGGGCTGACGAGTACCAACACTGTAAAACTTAGCCAATCAGTTCTTTTTCTTCTTTTTTTGCTAACTTTTGAGGAAACACTTGACCATGTTTCCAACAAACTAGAAGATCAATATAGTTGACGTTTTTAGCTTGCAAGAGTAACTCCCAATTATGGGAACTTCATTTCAAAACCCTACATGAGAAGAATTCAATTAGTTGAA